TCCTCTATAACAACGACTGGGAAGGCGACATTCAGTTTTGCAGCGGTCGAGATAAATTCACCTGTCCCTGTGGCGTATCCGGTGAACCTCGGATTAAACACCTGTAGTATCGAGTAAAGATGAACAATAAATATTATCCAGCCACATATATAATTTATCCGAGTATAGTAACGAGTACAGTAAGGCATAACTCATTTCCTGCTAAACGTGACATATTACACGACAAAAAATCGATGCAATATCGATAAGAATGTTACGTACAAGAACAATTGAGAGGATACATACCTTTAAAATATTGGGCAGTATTAAATATTGTCTCCAGTTAGCTTGACCTCTGATGCACCAGCTGGTCCCACGTGCCTTGATAAAAGTTTCCATAGCGAATTTCTCCAGCGCACCGCTCCCAGCAACCAAGGAATTACCGAGACCACCGATTCCGTCGATGTCACCTGGTCATAGACGATGAACGTAGTTCGATATCGATAGCAATCTGCAATAAGTGAGATAAGAACGGACTCATTTTCTGAAATTTAAAAATTGAAATTAATCCTCTTTTATTTTTTAAAAATCTGTTGTGGAAAATTTCCTCACGTTCCACATAAACAAGGAAATTATTATTTGAATGTGAAAATTCTTTTATAGTTTTGTTAAATAAAAAACGGCGCTTAACTACGAAGAATATTGAAAGAACGAGACATAGAGTTTTATCTGGCGGAATGCCTGGCATGTTGCTAGGAAACGGAACGCTATCGGAAATTATCGGCTATTTCATATTATAGACCATGAGATATGATATTCCAGTTTCATCCACCTTGTTCTGGAAATTACGAAATTTCAATGAACCGTCCGACCGTATTCTTGAAGCATATCGACTTTTCATATACAGCTTTTTAGCATTTAAGGCAGTGTCGATTAGCGCGCTTTACAAACGACACATGTTTACACTCTTGCTTTCTTCCATTTGCATTCCATTTGCGTCATGAGATTTAAATACCGACGCATATAAATAATTTCACCGAGACGGTGCTGCGGAAAAAGACGTTACACGATCTGAACTGCCTTAAACATTTGTTTAAATGGTTCATAGTTTCTGTCCTGACAAGCTTTTAAAACGTCAGAGCGTTATAGATATTTTCTATCGTTTGTTTTATCCAAGCACTGTGTTTGTATATTCGATCTAACTTATCTTTGAAACAAAATCGATCAATCAAAGAATATAATAATTTCTCGTCATTAATTCCGCGGTTACCTGTTTTTTTAATATATATGAGAATAGGAGCAGCGCGTCTCCGTGTTTGTAGCGTATTAAAGTGGAATCGTGGAGTCGAAAAGTTAGTGGAGTGGTACACACAAAGGATGCATTGTATTACCAGTACGTAAAGACATTTTAAAGCTATCTTAAACATATCTGACACGGCGCAAGATTCTACCGCAGGCCAACGAGGCCAGCTAAGGGAAACGTTCCCGCCTTTCTCCGATTGCTCAGAATGCAAAGTATTTTTCTTTTCAAGCTGCGCATCAACGACATCTTCCAGTTTCACGAGATGAATGTAATATCATTCTTGACGTCATTATTAAGCTTTTTACCAATCCACCAAAAAACTTGGCCGCTCGTCCGTTGAGCAACCGAATTGAAATGATCAATCACGCGGAAAAAGAGAGAAATGATGGAGATAAAATTTAATAACTTCTCCTCGTTATTTCAATGCCCATAACTTATCATTCCCGATTGAATTATGTTACGCATAAAGAAAGAGCAATCGGCCAGATGGAGAGCAACAATGACTAAAAACAAATGAACTACAACGACACGCATTACTCGCGCGAGTTAGCAGCGAGCATTACGAAAATTGATAGCCCTTTCTTGGGAAGAGAACATCCTTTTTCGATTTTCTTTGTAACTACGGTCAGTAAATGCTTTGGGCGCTGATCATTCCATGTTGGAATATTATATTCGCTCCTCGACGTGGTTGAATGAGACTTCCGGTCGCCGCATTTCCTCAAGTCCTCCAACACGAATGTTCTCAGTAGGCCTTTTGAGTCTTCGATCAGAGAGAATTGCAAACTTTGACGGAAACTGGTCGTTACTTGAGCATACATATGGCGAGAAGACCGTTTTGATGTAGTCGCGAGCAGACTCTCATTTATTTATCAGTGTAAATCCGTTGCGGTATCATTGCGACAAATTCGCTCGGTTCATTTTGGTGATAATTCTATTTGAGCAGTGTACAGTTACTTATATGCATTTTCAAATTACTTTTTTCGACACTTTTCGAGTTTTACGAAACGCAACCTTGTATCCTTACTGCAAATGGTATCAGAAGTGAAGACGATGGATTTTGCTCATCTCACTCTTAAATTGACCGGGGGATGTTTCCGCATCATTTTACAAGAGTCATAAAGAAAATGAAAAACTAAGGAGTCAACAAAGATTTTGAAAGTGTCGTCTCAGAAAATCTCCTTTAATGTATGAAAGACGTTGGACAAAATTGGACTTCCACTAGTGTCCAAATTCACGTCCCATGCCACGTCAAACGCTTAGCCCCACTAGGCATTTTCATAAATCTTGCGTAAAATCTTTAGGAAATGCGATTTGTCGCATGTTATGCAATGAAATATCAATTACGGCATCGGAATATTCAAGTACACACAAACTTGAATAGAATTTAGCATGTAAATAAGAGAAATATATAGTCTGTTCCACAAAAGCGTACGGTTCCGCATTTTATTAATAGTTGTTACGTAGTTGTTAAGTTCGGCTTTGCCGATTCTCTGAACAGTTCGAAAGAATGCTTTGAAGTTATATGGGTAGTGATTGTTTTGTCTGTAACAGGACAAAATAAACACAATGAGTGTTATGTATGTAAGTCGTTTTAAAGAAGTGTTTCTTTGCACACATCCGAAAAGACGGAAAATGTCGTATGCAACTGCCGGCCGCTACATGAAAAAGTCAGAGGGGTTTGTTAGGAAGTGGGTGAACGAAGGTGAAACGTTATAATGAAACAAAAAATGTTGACAATCTGCCAGAACGTGGCACCCGGCGCTTAACGACGAAACAGAACGACAAAGCTATCATCAAAATATTTGAGAAGAATCTTGGGTGTTCGTTATGGCGAACGAAGAATCTTTTATTGAAAAATGGTGTAGACGTGATCCTTAATACTATTAGACGACGATTGCTTGATTCCGAATATGGTTGGCGTAACACAAAGTTAAAACCTCTTTTGAGCGAGAAACACCTCGAAAAACACGACTAGAGTGGGCAAAAGCTAATATTGACCGTGATTTTGTCAATGTAATCTTCACTGATGGATCATCTTTTTAGTCCTGGATTCCCAGCAGGTATGCGTGGTCGATCATCATGATCCCATTGTTCAACTTACAGTAAAATATCCAGTGAATGTACATGTGTGAGGATGATTCTGTAAACAGGGATTTGGTATATTATAATTCTTCACGGACAATCCGAATGCACAGAAAATGTACATGATATATCATAAGTGTTTATTGAAGTCAGCTCAAAGATGGTTTGGCTCAGATAATAGTTCATAGGTGCTTCAAGAGAACAACCACCCAGAACACCGAAGTCGTGCATGTACGGAGTGGAAACATGAAAATAGCATCACTACAATGAACTGCACAGTCACCTGATGCTAATCCCATAAAAAATGTGTGGACAGTCATAAAAGTCAAACTGAGGGAAAAAAAGGTTTTTCATTTAAAGCAGCTCGTTCGTCATATACGGAAAATTTGAAGATCCATTCCTGAGACAATGGCTGAAAATTTCGTGGAAAGCATGCCCCGACGCTGTCAAGCCATACTTGATAACAAAAGAGATTGGATAACTTATTAAATAAATGCAGTTTAGTTTATTGAATTTATTAATAGATACATATCAAATAAAAATTTAAAAAAACACAAAATTGTTAAAAAAAAGTAACGGCCAATACGTTTTTGTGGAGCAGACTGTACGAACAGGTCTTTTAAATTGTTATTTATAAAAATTAAATTAACTTTTTCAAATTATGTAATTATGTCGCGTTTGTTCACGGATTATATACAATATATACATAAATATGCGATAAATATATATAACATCCACCTTGTTCACCAATGATCTGTAATTCCGCATTGTTACAATCAAGGAATCAATTTGACGCCGTATAATTCCTTGTTAAAAATTCTGAAGAGCTTTCCATCGCAATTAAATCTTTCGCACTATTCAATCCCACTATAATTTAAATAGAAGTGCAAATAAATACTGGTTTATTCAAATTGTGATAGTTTTTAGATTTTTTCGCACAAACAATCGGTAAGTTATTAAACACTCATTCAAGCACTAAACTGTCACTCAATTGTTCCTGATGTGTTGCTTTCAAAAAAATTCCAAACCAGATTTGCAATGATTTGTACATAAATTGTGAATAGAGACCGATGGCTTCATCGATACTACCATACGATAGCTCTAAACATGAATGAGACAGGTCGAAGAGAGACACTTTCGAGCTCATCCGATGTGACCCCCATTTTTACGATAATCATTTTCAAAATACCCGCGCAAGCTTTCGTATTCCTATGCGGTAGTTGTTGAGGAAGTACGTGAGTAAGAGTGATGGTGGCTACGAGACAATTTTACGACAAACGGCATAGTTCCTTATATTAACATTCGCTTGCACCACTTTGGATTTGCGTATACTCCTCTTGATATTTATTAAAAACGCAGATTTGTATAATTATTTCTTGGAAATTACATTAAATATGCCAAACGTGTATCTCTGTACTATTCGCAAATTAACTATACTTTACAGAGGCCCGTGAAATTATTATTATTATTATTATTTCCCATCTCTAAGCTAAAGTTACTCTCTATTAAAAATTGAAAAATACGTTATAACATTTTGATTATGCATAAATAACTATGATACTCTGTTTAAAGGCGGCATTATCGCACTACAGTTGACTGATTTATTCCTCTTTCTCCCTCGTCGAATAAGTATTCTTCACAAGGACGACTTATTTCGCTGAAGGTCTATTTGAGAATTTTGCAATGTGGCCAAGTAAGGCCTTTCCGGAGTTGGACAAAGAAACCTCTCAAAAAGATCCTGCCAGGATTTCGTTTTAACGCCAACTGGTTCCAATAAGTTATTCCACAAACCGTTTGCAACTACAAAAAAACGTCGATAACTTATTTGTTCAAAATTGAGTTAAAGATTTTCTAGTAATTAAATATAGTTTTCCATATTTCCTAAATAAAAAAATGGTATTTACTTCGAGTGTTAGTTTTCTGACTGTCATGAAAACAATCTATGGTGAAATATGTCGTATCGGCATATCCATGAGAAACGAGGGGTATGCTTAAATCTAGTGTAATAGCCTGAGTTATGACTGCAAAGTCGTCCCTCTGGAATTCAAAATAAATATTCAGGATTTCCATGTCTAACTCTTGCCATCTGAAACGTATTTAAATTTTTTCATTGATGCATGTATATATCTTTTATTATCGACAATATTTTTAAAATCATTCAAAAACGAATAAAAATTAAAAAATTGAAATATTCGGAGAATTTTTCATAGAATTTATTTAATAAAAGTATTATTTCTATCGTTAAATACTTATCGTCTCATGATTTTACGAGGGCGGTCCGATAAGTACTTAGCCTACAAAAGAAAAACGAAAATTTTGGAAAAGTGGCGATTTATTTCTCAACATAGTCTTCTTTTAGCTCGATACACTTGACCCAGCGATGCTCCAATTTTTTTAACCCATCTGAAAAATACGTTTTCTCGAAGTCTGCAAAGGCCTCCGTGGCGGCGATGACCTCCTCATTCGACTCAAATTTCTGCCCGGCGAGTGACTTTTTCAAGTTTGGAAACAAAAAAAAGTCGCACGGGGCCAAATCTGGAGAATACAGTGGATGGGGCAGCAGTTCGTAGTTCAATTCGACTAATTTGGCCGAATGAGGAGGTCATCGCCGCCACGGAGGCCTACTTTGCAGACTTCGAGAAAACGTATTTTTCAGATGGGTTAAAGAAGTTGGCGCATCGCTGGGTCAAGTGCATCGAGCTAAAAGGAAATTATGTTGAGAAATAAATCGCCACTTTTCCAAAATTTTCGTTTTTCTTTTGTAGGCTAAATATTTATCGGACTGCCCTCATATAATATTCTAGTATAAAACTTTGATATCTAAGGCCAAACATACAAGAACATTCGCTATCCGTCATAAGGTCACATGTAAAAGATGGTCTACCCTTACGACTGTCAAATAAAGTTTTCATATGTTGTGACGGAATCAACGATATCAAAGTCCGTGGCAAATTATCTCTCAATGTCGTCAAAACTTGAAGTAAATCGGCTTTGTGTTTATCGAAAATTGACGAAGGTGAAGAATTCCAGCACATATTGCTGCAAAAGTCGTTAACTCCGATCATCAACGATATTAACTGCAAACCAGATTGTTGTTATTAACATTTAATTGCCAGGAACTAATTACACTTGTCAACAAGGTTTTGGTTACCAAATCTACATTTTTTGTTTTCCTGTTAACTTTGTTTTCCATGTGTGATATTCAAAATGTCATAATTTTATATAGTCTGTTGCAACCAAACCCATTTTGCGATGTAAAAGTGATATGAAACTTGTGAACCCATCTCGAGATGTAAAAGTGATGTGAGAAAAAAAATTCTTAAACCATCTCGCGATATAATAATGATGCGAAAAAATATATTTTAAGCCCATCTCACGATGAAAAGTAACTGGAGGAAAATAAAGTAGATACTTATATTAAAAATGAGGTCCTGATAAATATTTCAATAACAAAAAGTTCTACATGCTACAGAGTTTTGATATTTTTATATTCAGTAAACAAAAATTATTAAGAACCATCGCATTTGATTCATATTACTAGAAATTTTTACTTGTTGACTAGTGTTATTAATTGACAACGCGATATTTTCGATACACCAGGTGTAGAAATTTGAAACCGGAATTTTTTTATAAAAATTACACGTCTGTTGTTTGAAAATGATAAAAAATATTTTATTCAAAATAATGTTCATTGCTATTTATACATTTTTCCCACCTCTCCGGCAGTTTATGAATACCACGCCAAAAAACCATTTCTTCTTTTAAAGCGAACCAGCTATCGAGCCATTTTCGTACATTTTCATACGAATTGAAGCGTTGTTCAGTGAAAGCGTGTCCCATTGATGCGAATAGATGATAATCGGACGGAGCCAAGTCTGGAGAATAAGCCGCATGCGTTAGTATTTCCCAACTAAACGCGTCGATCGTTTCCCTGACCCGTTTTGCTGTGTGTGATGGGGCATTATCATGGAACAAAATGACTTTGTGTTGCCTTTTTCCATATTCCGGTCGTTTTTCACGCAATGCTCGATTTAAATCGATCATTTGCTGTTGGTAGCGATCAATGTTAACGGTTTCACCAGGTTTTAGCAGCTCATAATAGATCACACCTTTCTGATCCCACCAAACACTGAGCATTGTCTTCTTTCCAAAGCGATTGCAGTGGATGTCGATGGTTCGCCTGGATTCACCCATGATTTCTAACGCTTAAGATTCTCAAAATATATCCATTTTTCATCACCTGTCATGATACGATGGACTTTCTTTTGTACCTGTCGAGCAGCATTTCACAAGTGGTTTTTCGATTTTCTTGCTATCTTTCATTCAGTTCATGCGAAACCCATTTTCCCACTTTCTAAATCTTTCCCACGAATTGAGACAGCTTTCTGCGTCACATTCAATTCATCCGCGAGTTCTTGTTGAGTTTGAGTATCATCTTCATCCAATAAAGCTTGCAATTCGTTGTCTACGAACTTTTTCGGTGGTTTCCCACGTTCTTCGTTTCTCACGTCAAAATCACCACTTTTGAATTATTTGAATCACTCGAAACACTGTGTTTTACCAAAAGCATGTTCACCGTAGGCTTCGACAAGCATTCGATGCGATTCTGCAGCAGTTTTCTTCAAATGATAACAAAAAACCAATGCTGTCCGCAAATCGTAGTTCATAGGCACAAAACTCGACATGTTTAAGGTTATAGAAAAATATACCGGTGTATGGAACTTGGGTTGTTGTGTGTTGAAAATCTTCGTCAGCTGTTAGAGGGAGATGATGGCGCTGCAGAAGCGGTCTTACGGTCCCTAAACTGATGGCTAGCACCATCTATAGGGAAATTCCGGTTTCATACTTCTACACCTGGTATATCTACTTCCAAGTTGTAATATAAGCGTAAATTAACGCAGTATGATACGAATTGTTTAATTATATCGATTTCATGTATTTGTTTTGTCTCTACATCAAAAATTATATGGAACTGACCTCTGGAATAAAAATTTTTGTGAGTGGGGACTTACGTTAAAATCTTGCAAACAATTTTTTAATAATATTATATATACGGATGAGGTAACATTTAAAATTATAATGAGATAAATTTAATAAATGTATAGTATTGGTTTATTGATAACTCACATCGGATTCATGAAATAAAGTATCAAATATAGTGGAGTGTTAATATTTAGTATGAAATTGTGAATAATAAAATAATTGGACCATGTTTTATAAATAGAACGTTGATGGGAGGAAGACTTTCACAAATTTTGAAATAAATTCCCGGTTTACTGGAAGATTTCCTTTAAAATCGCTGAGGTTAAACCAATATGATCCTGCATACTTCTTATGCGAGAATACCAAAAGACATGTTGAACAGAAGTTTTCCCGGTCGCTGGATCGGACAAGGTAGAACTATTTAATGGTCAGTATATTTACTTAAACCTGTTCGACTTCTTTTTGGAAGGAAATATATTTTTATAGAACAAATAAAAAATGTTTATACACATACCAACAACTGCTGAAGATATGCGTTACCGTATTGTCGTAAAATTGTCTAAAATAAAGAAAATATTAGGTGAACAACTTTGATCCCGCCGTTTCCCTATAGATGGCTTTAGTGGAATTTAGTGGTCAAAGT